CCCCCCCCCTCCTCCTCCTCCCCCTCCAGGAGGGCACGGTGCTCCTCCTCCGCCGCCGCCTCCTCCAGCCCATGCCGTCCCGCCTCCCCCCCCTCCTCCCGCTGGAAGCGCAACTGGGACAGGGATGCCCGCTGCTCAACCAGGGCGGTCGGACTTGCTCGCCAGTATCCAGGGTGCAGGAATCCACATGCTCCGCAAAGTTCGTTCACCATTTTCCTGGCCCGTGCTGTCATACTGACCTATCCCCAGACTCCTGCAGAAAGAGAAGAACCATTCTCCCCAACCGCTGCTGCCCCCGCTGCTCCCGCTGCTGCGGGAGGAAGTGATCTTGCCGGAGCACTGGCTGCAGCGCTTTCGCAGAGGAATAAGAGCCTGGGTCAGGAGAGTGACTCAGAAGAAGAGGATGATTGGGATGATGATGATGAATGAATATTTTGATGCACAATCTTATCGAGTTAGATAAAAACAGGTAGGTTAGGAGGTTGGACTGTTGCGATCTTTTCATGTATACTGTTTTTTATCCGAGCTGGCGTAGAGGCTTATTATTGGTCTTGGCTCGTAAAACGTAAAGAGGTCAAGAGCAACAGGCGTCTTGCTCCCATTATCCTCACTGCGACGATGTCGAAAACCCACATCTCATCGTTGCGGAGAACGAATACAAGGGTCCATCAGCATGGGAACCAAGCCAGATCTGACGTCAACACATGTCTGATCCGTGTTTCACGTTTGTTGGTCTTTGGCAGAGTCAGCCACGAATGCGCCCGATTTTTCTGGCCAGATACGACATTGACTTGCACGCGTCAGTCTCGGCCCACGGCGGCACGCGCAGTGAACTGTTTTTTGCGGGGTAAAGCGATTCCGTGCTTGGGCGCTTGGATCACGATGGGTGGTGGGTTATGAGGTGCTCCTATGATCGCCTCTCCCACAGTGTTCCTAGTTCCAAGTCACCATGCGCTAAGGTAAGGTGCGTATTTGGTATATGAGTTCTATTTTTCTGCTGCTGAGAAGGAACTCGGGCATTTTTTGAGTACGACATTCAAGATTCCGATGGGATGCCACATGGCAGAAACCAGGCAATCAGCGGAAATCCCATTGG